TAATAAAATGCATAGAAGAAAACAAGGAACTAAACTCAAGGACCTTGGACTTAAAGAGGATTTTATGAATTTGACCTCAAAGGCAAGGGAAGTAAAAGCAAAAATAAATGAATGGGACTACATCAAACTAAAAAGCTTCTGCTCAGCAAAAGAAACGGTCAACGAGGTAAAGAGACAACCATCTGAATGGGAAAATATATTTGCAAGCAATGCCTCCAGTAAGGGCCCAATATCCAAAATATACAAAGAACTCATACAACTCAATAACAACAAAAAAACGCTGCAATCAAAAAATGGGCAGAAGACCTGAACAGATGCTTCTCCCTAGAGCACATACAAATGACCAACAAATATTTGAAAAAATGCTCAACATCGCTAGCTATTAGGGAAGTGCAAATCAAAACCACATTGAGATACCTTCTCAAACTTGTTAGAATAGCTATACTCAACAGGACAAGTAATAACAAATGTTGGAGAGGATGCGAAGAAAAAGGAACCGTCATACACTGCTGGTGGGACATAAAATTGGTACAGCCACTATGGAAAACAGTATGGAGATTCCTCAAAAAACTAAGAGTTGATCTACCATATAATCCAGCAATCCCCCTACTGAGTATTTACCCCAAAGACTTGAAAACTTATATCCGAAAAGATATTTGCATACTGATGTTCATAGCAACATTATACACAGTGGCCAGGACATGGAAGCAACTGAAGTGTCCTATGATAGATGATTGGCTAAAGAAGCTGTGGTACATATATACAACAGAACATTACTCAGCCATAAAAAGAGATGCAGTATTGCCATTTGCAACAACACGAATAGACCTAGAGGTAATCATGCTAAGCAAAATAAGTCAGACAGAAAAAGTTGAAAATCACAATATCGCATAAATGGGATATAAACCTAAAATCAACAAATGAACAGGACAAACAAACAGAGACTCATGGACACGGACAAGAGTAGTGGTTACCGGAGACTCATGGACACGAACAAAAGAGTAGTGGTTACCGGACGGAGGAGGTAGATGGAGTATAGGGGGTCAAATATGTGGTGACAGAACAAAATCTAGCTATGGGAGATGAACACACAGTGTAAGTACATATGCCTTACTGTTAAAGTGTACAGCTGAAAGTTATTGGATTTCATTAACCAATGTCACCACAAATAAATTTTAAAAAATTTTAAACCCTGTATTACTCAAAATATTTGCAACTATATTGCCTTGGTTCTGAGTCTGCATACTTAGTGTTCAGTAGTTCAACACCAATGCACTTTATAGGAAAGTGTAAGCACTTAACATTTTAAAATCATGGATGCATAAATTCTAAATTTCAAAGTATAGAAGGTCTCGTATTTCAATAGTGCATGTCAAAAGGCAAAAAATAGTAATAAAGCATACTAGCAAATTTCACTTTTAATTTCTACTTATATATATTGTTTGCTCATATTTTATTAAGTTCATTTACATTCCCTGACTGGGTCTGAAGTCCTGGAGAGGAAGATAAGCTAAAATGCAAACCGGTTTCCTCTCTTTTCCCCACTCTCCCACTTAGATATGATATACAATGTCTGTAAACTTAAAAAGGAAAGATATTGCCTTTTAGCCAGAACCACCATCTTTCAGTAATTCTCCAAAATGACCAACAGAAAGGAAGAGGCACCTGCTCCAAGTTCTCTAGGTCTTTTAGATAACATGGAGTTGTTCCTATGGCCACATGCATATTACAGACATCAAGGGAATTTCAAAAAGGAATGCCCCACAAGTGTTTCCATGGCAAAACTGGAAGTCTACAGTGTTACCCAGCACGTCTGGCATTGTTGTAAACAAAGGGCAAGATTCTTGCCAAGAAAATTAGTGTACATATTGAGCATATTAAGTACTCTAAGAGCCAGGATAGCTTCTTGAAACGTGTGAAGGAAAATGATCAAATAAAAGGAAGCCAAAAAGTACCTGGGTTCAACTGAAGTGCCAGCCTGCTCCACCCGGAGAAGCACACTTTGTGAGAACCAATGGAAAAGGGCCTGAGCTGCAGGAACCCATTCCCTATGAATTTATGGCATGATAAAGTGTTTTAAAAAAATTAAATTATAAAAAAGCTCTGTGCTGTTGAAAAGAGCAAGATATCTCTGCTTTATGTAAGCTCCTTGTACTTGACATTGTAAAAAGCGGTCACTTCCATTTTCAATATGCAGTGGGTTTATAGGAAGAACTGAACAAAAAAGCCAGGACAGAAAAAAGGAATTTATACCTTTCCTGAGTCATCCTCTTAATTTTCTTTCTGAGGTATACTGTCACTGCCAAACAGATCAAACATAGCTCATGAAACAAGACAATGCATTCTAAAACCAGTAAAATTCTGTTTACATATTGTAGTTACATCAGGTGAAGAGCTATTCTACTACTCTAAAAACGTAAAATCCTTCATGTCACTTTTCACCAACATAAAAGAATTCCGAAGACAATGGGACTTTTGTCCTCTCCTCCTAAGATAGAAATACTCATATCTAGAAGGAAGGGAGGTGACTTACTGTGCCATCCAGGCACCCATACCTAACTAGTTTAGCCATCTTGTTTAAGGTAATCCTCAATATTCTCTGTTGCCATGTCAACTTTTGATAGTTAAGAGAAAAAAACAAAGATTTTCTGATTGGAATCACTTTCAAGACCTTATGGCTTCTGTTAAAGAGAGAAACAAGAACTTTTTAAGACGACGAGATGAAAAGATGTCAAATGTAAGAAAATAATTACAAAACAAAGGTAAAAAGACTATGGTTATCAATTTTAGTATTTATTGAAAGGTGGAAGACAAGGAAAATTCCTCTCAAATTTCAAAAACAAATCTTGCACCTTTGCTAAATGTAAAATGAATTTTTAGATTTGCTTTACATGACAATGAACTTGTCCAAAAAAATAACTGAATGCAAATTTATGAAAATAGTGCTAATCTATTATTTACAAAAATGATCTTATCTGCCATATGTGTTTGAGAAAAAAATAATTTTACACTCTGGAACACTAATGAAATACCTTGAAGACTTAACCCAAAAATAAAATCTTTCCTACCCTCCAAGACCCCTTTCCCCACCAGTTACAGAATGGATTAAAAATGAATATATGTGGAAACAAACATAAATATTTCCAATACTCTTATACACACATGTGCATGTGTGCTAACACACACACAGTGTTGTGCTAGATCAACCTAATCTTTATTTAAGGTCAACAGCCTTAAGTGACAAGGAAGATAATGAATATGGCTTTTGAAAAGTTTTCATCTAATTATCACAAATGCTTAATTTTGCTAGCTAACCAGCTAACCTGAGTATGGAATATTTATTACTTAGATAGCTCCAAGGATATGAACAAAATTAAAAAAAAAAGAAAGAAAAAAAAGCACTGTAGCAGACACCACTGAGGTACCTTAGTTTTTTGTAAAGGTCTGTGTATCAATTTAATAATTTACATAACTACTATTCTATATAGTATAAGATCATATAGAAACTATATCTCAAGTGTTTTATTGTTCTGGTCCAAGTAACGAAATAACAGCAAAAAACTTGTGTTCAGATAAAGAACTGGAATGTACTAACCAGGAAACCATTAATATAATGCAGTATCGAAATAGAAATTTGTGTGTACCAAAGGTAGTTAACAAGTTCTCAGATTACATCTGAAGAGGATTTTTAAATTACAACCCGTAAGACAAAGAACATAAGCATTATTCAAGGTGACAAGGCTGTATCTGGAAATCTAAATCTACTGATTTATATTTCACCTCCAGAAGGATGTATGCATTGTACAAAACAAATTTTCAAGAGGGAAAAGTATGACTATAGGTTATACAGGAAACTATACCTAAAAGCAACCACTATTGTTTTAGATATATCTTTAAAAGTTTAAGGCTTACATATTTTGGAGGGATACCCTAAAAATATTTTATTATAGTATCATCTATCTATGTGTATGCTACTGGAAATCAGAACTAAAACAAATCTTGTTAAATATATCACCCTTCAATTAAAAAAGAAAAACATCCTCTTCTATTTCTCAATACTGGATATGAATTGTGTCTCTCAAAATGGTAGATGCAAATACATAAATTTAGTTAAAAAGAGAAGATTAAAGTGGTGAGTAGGATAAGATGGTAACATATAAAACAAAGACGCTATTTACATTATTATGATTTATACCTTCCTTATCCCATGAAAATTCCTATGCTGCAAATATACTGATTTCCTACAAACCATCGAGATTTCCTAAAATATTTGTCTACTCTTTTAAACTGGGGCTAGAAATGTTATCACTGCTACAATTTTTTTCTGGTGAAATGCCTCTTTCTAAGTGGCTTCTCCCTAACCAGAAAAATAAGTTTTATGGGTACCACAAATGAGGCTGAAGCAGAAACTACTGAAATAGGAATAGCAACTCTAGCCCAAACGGCAGCACAGTCATCAGTTGAAAGTCATCAAAGTATAAGCCCAGAAAAATATCAAAGACAAATAAAACAGATTTGCAATGAGCAGAGTTCCTTATATCAAAAGCATACATTAAAGACATTTGTTTGACTTTTAATTAGTAGAAGCACTCTGAAATAGTGAAATCCATCATTGAACAGATTTGTTTTAATCATCTTTACTAGGCACTGGCAATCCTGTTTCCAACTCCAATTTTACTTTCTAGAGCTTCTTTTGAACAAGTACAGTTGACCCTTGAACAAGGGTTTGAACTGCACGCACAGGTCCACTCAGGGATTTTTTCAATTGACCTGTGCAGTTCAAACTCACGTTGTTCATGGGTCGACTATACTCTAAGTTATTTACCTTGCTAGGGTAGGGAGAGGGGTCCTTAGAAAAAAGAGGTAACACATCTTATTCTGTTAGAAATATCTCTTTATACGGCAGCTGAGTCATTGCCCTTATTTTAAGATTTTATATTTGCCATATTTTCCTCCTGTTCTGCAAGAAAAATGTAAAAACATTTTAACTGCTCACAATTAAACTTTCTGTAACTAAAGTCAGCTACTATTAAGTATAGCATAGGTGCCTATTAGTAAGAAAATCTCAACCTATCATTCTGTACACTATAAAGAAAATTTATGTTAGGGCCTGGTAATCTGGCCACAAAACTTCATAATTAGAAGGGTTAGATATCACTAACAGATCTTGTTCCTCCCAACTTTACAAAATTACTTCTATTACCTAAACAGCTTTCTTAATGTTGAATATAAATATTTTAAAATGTATTCCAGGGAACAGGGCTAGGAAACTTCACATATTCATCTTATTCAGCAATTTAAGAAGTTATATAAAATATGATATACATATATATTCCCATACATACACACACATATAAATATATGCTTTCATAACTGAATCTTGGTTTTAAAAATGCTTGCACAATGTGGGGAATTTAAATATTCACTAGATTTGAATATATACATTTGCACTCCTTTACCACTCTAAATGGATATACCAGCAGACACATAATAGATCAAATAAATGATTTAACTGAATTGTCAGTTTGTCTTTTACAGACCCAACAAAAAACATATTTATTATGAACCTTTATTAAGTGGCTCACATTTCAGTATAAATCACACTAAAAAAAATTTAAAGCTATTTACACTACAGTGCTGACACATTTATAATGAAAAAAAAAAATTGGTATAAATAAGCTCTATGGAAAAGCCTTAAATTGTCAAAAAAGAATTCTGGCTCATATTACAAAATATATATGTCTGTGTGTGTGTGTGTGTGTGTGTGTACATATATATATATATATATATATGTACACACACATACATATATACATACATGTTAATGTCAGCTCTATTCTAAAACCTACAACTCCAACTCTAGTGACTTTTGAAAGACTCCAATTGTTTAAACCTGCAATGTTTACAGTGCATCTGGCCTTAAGTGCTTTGATACTTCACAGTTATGGACAGGCACTGAGGAATGTTACAAAGCTACACAAACTATATTTTGTAACAGACTTAGGAGCAAGTCCTTGGCTTGCTTTCAGAATTCATAAATCTTTATTACATTGTTTTGTGTGTGTGTGTATTTTTTAAGGATTTTAGATGGTATGTACAAATTTAGCACAAAATGTCATCATCTTTTCTATCTTGATTTGAATGTGCTGAACTATGTTGCCTGGTATCAACTAGACTTCTGAGACTTCCAGGACACAATTCTTCCTTTAAATCTTTGTTGCTATTTTCAAATTTGGAGTCCACATCGATCTCAAATTCTGTAAATTGAACATGATCCAATTTTGCTTTAACATTCTTGCCATCCATATTATTCGGTGCTCTAGTCTTTTCAGGAACATAAACATTCACAGGTTCTTCATTGATTATTACAGATGCAATAGGTTCATGTTTAATCTGCTGTACTTCATATTTAGATTGAAATTTGTCTGAAAAAACAGACTCCAAGGAGGTTTTGCTTACAGCACAAATCATGTCAGTATGAGGTCCAAGAACTGATGATATGGAATCTCGTGATGTGCCTGTTTCATGAGTAGCTGTATTCTGAGCAGTGTCCTCCTCTGAGTGATATAACTTGAGCCGAACATGCCATGCTAAACTGCATACAGCTGAAACTGTCTTGAACTGATGAACAACATTCCGTGGAATAAAATAAATGTCATTATCATACAGCTGAATCCTGGCATAGCGAATGCCTTCTCTCCTCAGTTGATTAAGTTTTGCATCATCAACCCACTGGACACACTAAAAAAGGAAACAAGGAATACCAATAAGTCTTTTCCAAAATAAAAATTAAACTGAAGACAATTAATGGTTTAAAATATACCTGGTATTAACCAATGTTACCCTAATAAACTTAATTTAAAAATAAATAAAGATGTAATCAGAAAAAAATAAATTAAATTAAATTAAATATACCTGGGATAGTGGAGGTTCATGTAAATCTAACTGCATTCGTTGAACTACTTCTAAAAAATCTTCAGCATGAAAACAAATCACATCTTTGGTTATTCGGGGTTGATTAGGCCTAAAAAATAATATGAGATAAGGAAAAATCTGCCATTAATATCTCATTGTGTTGTTCTATTAAAGTCAAAGCAAAAATACTTTACAGTCAAAACCAAAGTACTGTCTTAGAAATAAAGTTAAATTGTAATTAGAAGACCACTTTAAATATTTAAACAAAGGGGTAATGCCATGAGTTTTGACCTAAACAGATAAAAACAACTCACCTCATTTTATTATAGCTATGTGGTAAACATATTTTGAAAAGTTAAAATGATTTGAATTGGTAAATTACGCAAATCAAAAAGAAATGAAGTGTTCTGTCTTAAAGTTAAGGTCACTACTTCAACAAATTAAGTGCTAAAGCTGAAAATACTACATAAAAATTAGAGTTAAATATGGGGGAAGGGAATACTTTCTTTCAATAAAGATATATGTAACAGCAATGGTACCTAACTCCCTTAAATAATTCTTAATAAACTAAGAGACATTCATTTAAAAAGTACTGATAAAATAAACTATTACCACTCTATTTGCTGGAGTTAATAAAAAAGTACTAAAATAAAAACTGTTACCACTCTATTTGCTTATCTTTAAATACAATTCTAAAAACTCTCTGATTCTTCAGTTAATTAGGAACATATATTTTTACAGATGCTCTAAAATGTATTTTGGAATGAAATTACAAACAACTAAATACAAAAAAGAAAAAGAAAAAAAAAAACATACCAAGGCAAATTGTAACCAATTTTTTAAAAACCAGTGATAGAGAAAAACCTAAAACTCATGCATTATATTACTATACGGAGAAAGAAGAATAAGAATGATTATCTCATCAGAGATAATGCAAGCCAGGAGAGAACAGACCATCTTTTAAAAAAAATGGAAGAAAAAGTCAATCTAGAATTCTATATCCACCAAAAATACCTTACAAAAATATGAAATAAACATGTTCAGACAAACAAAAGCTGAGAAAATCAGCTTTTTGGATTGCCAAAAGACAGGCACAACAAAAAAGGCTAAAGGAACATCTTCAGACTGAAAGAAAATGATACTTAGATGAAAATGTAGATATATTCAAAGAATTGTAGAACACAATAGGAAATATGAAAGGTACTTTATTATCATTTTTAAAATCTCTTTAGAAATAATTCCTTATAGCAAAAGTAGCATACTGGGGGCATTTATAGCATATATAAAGTAAAATGTATGACAATAATTAGCACCAAGGACAGAATTGGGGGGGGGGGCGCATGGGCGGGCTTGAAAGGTTTTTACACATCACACAAAGAAGTATAATATTATTTGAAGGGAGACCGTGATAACTTCAGACCAACTATTAATAAGCAAATAGTAGAGGTATAATGGAATGCTAAAAAAGACAAGGGGAAAAGGAACAAAAAAAAAACCAAGAGGCAAACGGGAAAAAGATGGTAAATTTAAATCCAAATTTACTGACAGTTACATTATATGTAAATGGTCTAAATACTCTAGTTAAAAGACAGATTATCACTGGAATTGGAAGATATATGGTGTCCACATGAAACAATAATATAGATACAAAGTGAAAAGCCAGAGAATGGAAAAATATATAACATGCAAACACTAATCATAAGAAAGTAGACCAGCTATATTAACATCAGACAAAGTAGATTTCAGGACAAGGAACACCAAGGATAAAAAGAGTATTTTATAATGATAAAGAGGTCAATTTATCAAGAAGAAATAATAATTCTAAAATGTGTAGTCATAAAATGTGTAGTCACCTATTAACAGAAATTCAAAATATATGAACAACATTAAAACATTATGCTAAATGAAAGGAGCTAATCACAAAAAAAATCATATCATTCCATTTATATAAGATATCTAAAATAGACAAATATAGAGATACAGGAAGTAGATTAATGGTTACCAAGAGCTGGAAGATATAGAATTGGGGAGTAATAGCTAAAAAGTCCAATCCATAAACGAAGTGTATCTCTCTTCAAGGTGATGAAAATATTCTATAATTGTGCTGATAGTTGCACAACTCTGTAAATATACTAGAAACCACCGAATTATACACCCTTTAAATGGGTGAATTGTATGTCATGTGAATTATATCTCAATAAAGCTGTTACCAAGGAAAAATCCATGAAGAAAAAAAACGACTAGCAAAACTGAAAGGAGAAACAAATCCAATGTTACAGTTAGAGGTTAGTAAACAGACACAAATCAGTAAGACTATAGAAGCCTTGTACCATACTATCAATAAAGGTGACTTAACTGGCATTAAGAAAGCACTATATCCCCCAACAAAAGAATTCTTTTAAGTACACAAAGAACATTCATCAAGATAGTCCACAAAACAAACCCCAGGAAATTAAGAAAGAGAAATAACAGAGTATATTCTTTGACTACAAGGAAATTAAATTAGAAATCAAATCAAAAGAAAATCTGGAAAAAAATTCTCAAATAATGAAAAGTAAGCAACGGTCTTCTCAATATTCTGTGACTAGAGAAAAAAAAGACACCAAACAAAAAATTAGAAAAGTTCTGAACTGTGTAATAATGAAAACACAGTATCAACATTTGTGGAATATACCTAACAGAGTGCTTAAAAATTTAGTTTTAAATATAATATCAGAAAAGACAAAAGGTCTCAAATCAATAATCTAAGCTTCTAATATAAGCTAGAAAAAGTAAATTCTTTCCTTAAAAGAACAAATAAAGAGCAGAAATAATAAAATAGAAAACAAAAAAATAGGGAAAAAAATCAATGAAATGGCTGATTCATTTAAAAAAAACAATAAAATTAATAAATTCTGGCAAGACATTAAACACAAAAATCATTAACAATATTAGCAAACTGAATCCAGTACTATTTAGTGTTATCATAAATATTATCACCTGTATTATATCATATACCATATATAATCATGTATAAAACCATGTATATTTCAGATATACACACATTTTTCTTAGTTATTCCATATTGTCATATATGTATATAATCATATATACAGATGTGATATATATGAAAATACAGAATAATCAAGAGAAGTTTTTAAGCCCAGGAACAGAAATGGAGTTATGGAATTACAGGACCTTAGGGTAAGTTATGTTTAATTTTATAAGAAACTGCCAAACTTTTCTACAATTTCCAGAGCACTGTATAAAAGTTCTGGTTAATCCCTATCTTCACTAGCTATTGGTATGGTCTTTTAAAAAATTATTAGCAATTTTAGTGGGTAGGTAGTGCTATTTCATAGTGGTTTTAATTTGCCATTTCCCTTATGATACAATTATTCTGAACAAATTTTAATGTGCTTATTGGCCATTTGTGTATCCTTTGTAAAATGCCTGTTTAAATATTTTGCCCAATTTTAACTGGATTGTTTGTTTTCTTAGTCTTGTAAGAGTTCTTTATATACTTGGATACAAGTCATACACAGAGAACAGCCAGGTAGAACAGTATAAAGAAAAAACACAAGATCTGAAATTAAACTCAGCTCTACCAATTATTAACTATATAATTATGATAATGTTCTCTAACAACCCTGAGCCTCAGTTTCCTTGTGTGATGTATATGAACCTAAAAGTAGATGAGAAAATTAAACGAACATCTGTAAATGGGCATACAGTAAGCACCAAGTGAATCTTAGTTTTTCTTTTACCTTAGATAAGACAATTATTGTCACCTCTAGTCACTTAGAAAATGAATTATTTCAGTCAAACCCAAAAGACGAAAACTAGATTTTAGCAACTGAAAATCTTTAGTGCAGTGATATCATTACAATATCCAAATACAGGGAAAAATGAAACTTTTTTACCCACAGTAAGAATTACTGAGCAACTTTCCAAGAAAAATTTCAGAGAAAACCTTTCATTAAAATAGTAAGTTAATATATACCACTCTCCACAGTGCACAGCCTTCAACACTCCAACAGCAGCTGTCGTCTGTCGTTCAAAACCTTGTCCTATGTGATCGGCATGAGCTCTGGTCCTGTCTTCAAAGAGCATCTCGCGTGGCTCACTAGTCCGAGGTAGGTACTGCAGGTTTTTTATTTCATTGGTAGTTCTGTTTTAAAAAATTACATTTATATTTTATATATATTTTAGAGGGGAGGGAGGGAGAGCAAGGAGAGGGCAGGGGTAAGAGAGAGGCTTATCTAGTAAGGTTTAATTGCCCTCAAATATTTGTATTAAGGCTTAACTGCCATCAAGTATTTAGTAATCACATAATTCAGATTGAAGGAAATTTTAAATCACCTGCTTTCAAATCAATTTTATTTTTAAAATGAATAAGTACAAACAAGAATACATATATAATCCACTCCTTTTCTTAACACATCCTTCATAAAAGTGGCAGGCTTAAAGCAATATTTACTTGGATAAGAAACTAAATTATGGGTGGTTGTGGTTTACCCAGGGTTCCCTGTACCCAAAATCTTTACCTGATACCCCCAATCAGGTCACCTAGCTAACACAAGGTATATATCTGGAACGAACAGGTAACTCTAAAAAAATGCATTAATTTAATATTTATAGACCACCTACTATATACCTAGTGAAAAAACAGTAGTAAGACAGACAAGTTCCCTACTCTTGTGGGAGTTTATACTCTAGTGAGAGGAAGATAAAATAAATAGCAAGAAAACACCAGGCATAAGTGCTTCTACAAAACATGCATGGTTTATTGGAGGTACAAAGTTAAACCTTAGCTCCCTCTTAGAGGACAGTCATCTCCCACTGGCCCTCTCCTCCATAGCTCACCGTCTAGAATCCATATGCATACAGAAGCTGCTGAATACTTAGCCTCACTCATGGCAAAAACCCTCTCCAATTTTGCTGTAGAAGGGGAAAAGGGTGAGAAGAATTTCTTTGATTGGGAGGCATAATCTTATTCATCTTCCAGTATGGTTTTTGTTATTTCCAAAGCCAAGTCCAGACTGCCCCATAATTTTCTCTTCTCATCCTAGTCTATCCCCTAACCACTCTTCTTAATAAATTCTCTAATTTCTCACCTTCAGTCTCTACTATTTATTGTTCCTTGTGCACTCCAGCATTACAGTCTCATTACACACTTACAAAAACACACAATGTTATAATATACTTTTTTGCTCTTTGTGATTAAGTTTTTACAGGTGTCAGAAAGCTAGATGATGATGTTGCTTTCTGTGGAAAGCTAAGAGGCTTTCAAGCTTCTTATATAAAGCACTTGGCATAGTGCCTGAGGTAGTGTTGTTATTAGTTTGGTCAGACTATAAAGTGATGTGAAAGTATCCCATGGATTGTAATTCCTGAGGTGTAGGCAAATCGTTACAGGGCTGCTGAACTCCCTTAAATTTCATATAAAAGTTTGTATATATCTGCTTTGTTCTGGGGGAGAGGCTTTCAGATTCTCAAAATGATTTATAAATCCTAGTTAAGAACCACTGAAAAATATACCAATTTTACCATTTATTACCAACCTATAAATTCACTTAAAAATTTTTTATTCAACCAATTAAAATTTATTAAGCACTAGGCACTCCGTTTAGGCGCTGGAGACACACTAGTAATAAGTACAACATAGTCCCCGCCCTCATGCAACCTACAGTTTACTCAAGGACCATTTTTTCCTGTTTGTTTGTTTTCTTTTTTAATAATCAGTGGGCCCAGTAAAACTATCTTTAAGTATCTAAGAAAAGGTATCCACTCCCCCAGGATTATCCACTCCATCCTCACTAATGTTAACCTAGTGTACATCATTTCACTTTTCTCTGTGCTCACATACACATTATGCACATGTTTTTCATTTATTCTCATAAAAAAAGAATCATAGTGGACATATTACTTTACATTTTGCTCTTTCAAGTGTCATGGATATCCTTCCAGATCCACAAACATATATGATTCATTTATTTTAACTATTTCACTGTATTCTTAAATAGAAATGTATTAAAATGTAGTCAACCATCCCCCTGTTAATGGGCATTCAGACCATTTTAAACTTTTTTCTCACTACAAATAATGCTGCAATTAACATTCTTATCTATTTAGTGCCTTTAGCACTTTTATTTTGGGGACAGATTCCAAAAGTAGGGTTTAAATCAAAGAATATATATGTTAAAACTTTACAAGCTATTGCTGGATTACTTTCACAAAATAATTACAGCAGCTTACCTTTCTACCAACAATATATAAATGACCTGTTTTCTTACATACCTAACAGCCTGTAATATTACTGCTCAATTAAGAATTTCTGTCAGTGTAATAAGTAAAAATAAAACCACCTATTTTAATATATATCTGACTACCTGAGGCCTGTTTTTATACTGGGTTGTTTTACCTTTTTTTGTCAATTTGGGAGTGCTCTTTGTCTTTAGTCCGTCACATGCTACTAATGTTTTAGTTAAGACTTTCATAGTTTTGAACTTTGTTGTCTTTTCTCTCACATACTATTGACATTATGTATTTTTTATATTGCTGAGGAAGGTCTCTCCTAGACTTAAAAATTTTATTCTAATATTTTAATTTTTTTCTCTTATTAAATCTCCAACTTACTTCTTGTGTGAGATAGGGGCTATGGCTTTGTTTTCTTTCAGATGGACTGCCAATTATGCCAGCATTATTCATTAAATAAATCTTCCTTTTCCTCTCATATATTAAGTTCCCAATATACTTAGATCTATTCGTGTACTCCATCCTATTCTAATGATCTTTTTGAGCTTTATAATAATTTTTACTAATAAAACAAGGTCCCCCTCACTTATCTTCTTTTTCACAATTTTCTTGGCTAGTTGCCAGCTTTATTTATTCTTCCGTATGAACTTTAAAATCATTTTATCCAGTGCTAGAAGTGTGAGTCTAATTGAAATGCTGAGTTTCAAAGGACTATCATTTTTATCTAATCTAGAACATTGTAGGGTTGGTTTTTCATTTATTTAGATCTTATTTTATATCCTCTATGTTTCAGTTTCCTTAATATGGGTTCTGAATATTTCTTATTAAATTATATCAGTTTATAACATCTCTGTTGTGAATGACATTTTTTCCATTCCTAATTACAGTTTGTTGTTATTTGCCTACACTTTTTGTGTCTTATTCATATTTGATGTTTTTTCAAAAATTTTATCAGCATGTGTAGCCATTTTTGAATTTGTATTCCAATTATGATCTAAACTTTCCCCCTCTTCCACTAATTTTCCACACACACATAACCCAACATACAAACACCCATCCTCCACAAGAAAAATGTGTATCCAACATACCTTTTTCTTTTGAAAGGTGACTTTGGCATATCAGCCACAGGGATCATTTGTTCTCCTGGGCGTACCCACATGATGGGTCCATCATCACTATCTTTTCGATTCTCTAATTTTAGACTAGATAGTGTCCCCCATGGCAGTGTACACTGGAGGCAAATAATTATATAGAAATCAATTATATTCAAAATGTATCTTTAAATATACATTAAAGAATACTGCCCCTTGACAATCTTTTATCTATATCTTTATACTTATACATTTGAAATATATACCTGTATTGAATATATGCCTATATATTCACACATTCTCCATCAAAAAACTCTATTTCAATTATTCTTGAATGATTACCTCCCCCAACCCTGCCACAGATATGATTCACTATATTCATTACTTGTTATTCCTCCTTCTACCAAATACAAGATATTAATAAGTTGGTAAAATAAGCAAGTGTTCTCCATGAGAATCTATAAAAATGATCAATTAAGTTTAAAGAAATGGCTACCTAGAAAAAAAAGATACCTCTTTGATTAGTTATAATGAAAATCTAATAAAAAAGGAAAACCAAACCAAAACCAAAATTTATTTGTTTAGTAGTTGCTTGAAGAGACTGCTGGTCTAAAAGCAGAGAATAATTCCTTGAAAAGAGAAATGACTAAGGGTCCATGGAATTAAGAGAATGGTATTTTTAAAAAGCATTCATCCCATATTCCCTTTTCAAAAAGAGGAAAATTATCAAATTTCTCCAGAAAAAATGCATTTAATTTAGCTCATTTGCTTTTATAATTAAAATCTGAAACATAAATATTTGAATTAAGGGTATTTTTTAAATACCATTCAAAATAAATGCAACCAAATTCCATGATGTCACTAGTTAGGAGAAACAGAAAAGGAAAAAAAAGTTTAAAAGAATAAAAAAAGATACGGCCATGCCACCCTGAATGTGCCCGATCTCGTCTGATCTCAGAGGCTAAGCAGGGTCAGGCCTGGTTAGTACTTGGATGGGAGACCACCTAGGAATACCAGCTGCTGTAGGCGAATGAATGAATGAATGAATGAATGAATGAATAAATAAAAGAATAAAAAAAGAAATGAAAGGGGAATGGAATGAGATAAAAAAGGAAGAAAAAGATACACAGAGATTAGAAAACCAAACAAGCAGAAGTAAAAAAATAAAACTCAACAGATTAAGTCGTAAATACTAGTGACAAACTGATCTTGCTGCATTCTGACCTTTGAATTACTAATTAATTAACCTAACTACATAGCTCAGAGATTTCTCTCTCAATGGGGCAGCCCGAGCAGCCCACAAGAAATAAATGTTTTCTGAAATTCAGAGACTATAGAAAAAAATTAAGAAACCTATCTAGAAATCATTTAAAGATTTAATGGGCCTTAAAACTACATAGTTTAAATGCTGTCTTTTATGTATGACGAAACTGACGCCCAGAAAGTTTAAATGGCTTGCCCAAGCCAGCCAAGAATGAAATACGAATGTGCAACTTCCCATGCCAGTTTTCCACAATGCCAAATTGCCATTCCCTTCTCCTAAGCACTTCAATTTAGTAGACTTCCTTCCTGTACTTCTTAAATCCTCTGGTACTCAGTTTATAAAAATCTAATAAACAGATGAAACCTAATTTCCTAAAGAGACAGCAACAGGCTTATTTTCTGGTGCACCATTTAGCTTTGCCATTGTAACTGGTACTGAAGTCATACGTACACACTACACTAGAATTTTAGTTTTTCATCTCTTCCTTTCCTTCTTTCCAATTCAAATGAAATAAAAAAATTTATAGTTCTGAAACAGCCACCTGTATCACCTGTAGTATGGAAGTAACACCCACAAGTTAGACTGCTTGATAATGTTTTCTCTTACTTTTAAAAATGGTGAATCTTCCAACATATCAAGGAACTCAGGGAAGTAATCTCCCACTTCTTCATCAACCGCTCCTACCAAGCTGATCTGTCGCATTGGGCCAGCTCTATAAGTACCGTGAGAATATGTTCTTTTTACCTGAAGGATATGGAATTGATTAAAAGTTATACATAAGATAACGCTTGCTATCATTGTATAACACTAAATTATATTATACAAGAATATCAGAACATAATGTGAAGCAAGCAAAACAAAAACCTTTACAAGCAGTAAAAAAAAAAGATATTAAAAAAAAATCTGTACTAGATCAAGCTATTTTACCTTTAGTTATTCCTACACATGGCTTATGAAAACAATTGAGATAACTGACTATAACTTCATATAATACACGAGTTCGTTATGTGATCACTGAAATTATATTCAGAATATGTATACCTACATTTCCCTAAATAGTTCATATCTCTTTATCAGAATTTTCAAAAGTGCACACTGAAAACGTTCCATTAAACCATTGTTAGTGGTTTGTATGTCTAAAAGGTCATCAGGAATGACCTTCCCTTCTAGATCTTACCATTAATCAGGACCCAGTTTACATTTCTAACTCAGATGAAAAACCACTAGAGATTGAGAACCAGGTGTCCTAGATCCCAAATCTTCTTTTGCTATCTACCAGCAGTGTGACCACCAGAAATCACTCAAATTCCCTGAGTTTTAGTTTCCTTAACTGGAATGATTTACCTCAGATTGCTGAAGAAAACTTAATTGTGGCCACTAAATTTAGAGAGATCAAATTGTCTCAGTTTACCTGGCCCTGTATCAGTTTAAAAAAAAAAAACAAAAAAACAAAAAAACAAAACCCTACTATAATGTAATATAACTACAGAGAAGGAATAAATACAATCAATAATCAGAAGACCAAAACTAATTATTAACAAATTTAACATTCAACCCTCTTAGAGTAAAATCTGTTTAAATGTTAAGTAAAAATATGTATCATTTAATAACAAAAAATGAGTAAAGCTCCTTGGTGGTAATATTAAAGACATGTTTCATCTTATAACTTAAGTACTTCACTAACTTTGATTTAACCAGATGTTATCTTAGGTTAGAATGATCATTTTGTTGATTGAAGAGAATATTACTGACTTAGCCATGTCATCTCATCCAAATTACACCTTTACATTAATTTCCAAATTTACAAATGTTGTTCTTTGTTAAAAAATAAAATAAAATGAAACTCATGTCTAAATTAGTACAGACCCAAATACTAAAAACTTTAACATAATACATTAAGTAAATTAGAGACAAACTTGATTTTTCCCTTTCTCCTATGTCTATGTTGGGGCTACCTAAAAAGAGGCTATATCTTTTGATGATTTTTTTAAAGTATATTCGTATTAAAACTCATAAATACTTCAAAGGATATTTGGGAGAAACTGAACTTTAAAGAGTAAAGGAACATAGACTCTACCACTTGCATTATAATCTTAAATATTGTACTTGAATCTTTATAGTTAGTTCTTGTCACTTCATGGCAAAATACATACATATTATATGTAAAATTCACTTACACACATAATTTGCTATAATAAAAGTACAGGACTCTCTCCCTTTTCACCAATGTGTGCTAAAACTGTAAAGTACATCTTGTCTGTCCACTATGAAAACTGCAGGTAAATTCCACTAAAACATATGGTGTTTATAAAAACTACGCATACTTAACTATCATGTTTAAAACAAGATGACAACTTTCTTCTAAAACACTTATTCTCTAGATATCCAAGGTAATACTATGATAAACCGATAAGATGAATACAAATATATTTAAGTTTTATAAATTAAATTGAAGTCATTAAATCTTAGTTTATAAAACTAATTTGAATTTTTAAACACACTGTAATATAACTTTAAATTACATACCATTTAACACAATTTCCTAGTGTAATAACCCAGTACTTCAAACATATACTAAATCAGTTGGAACCATTAATATTTTAAACATGGCAAATCACAATTAACAATGTATTCAAATTCAAAAAGTACATAGCTGTTAATAAAATATTGAGATGGAACTGAAGAAGCTGTTAAAACAAATATAAATATACAATCCACACACTTTTCACTTCTTGATTTAGGTGACTACTTTATTACAATATTATATAGTAGTCGTCCCCACCCTTTCTGGCACCAGAGACCAGTGTTCTTACGACAATCTAATTCTTGATGATCTGAGGTGAAGCTCAGGCGGTGATGCTAGTGCTGGGGAGCAGGCTTGCTACTCACCTCCTGCTGTGCGGCCGTATTCCTAACAGGCCACAGACGTACGAATCCACAGCCCAGGGGTTAGGGACCCCTGCTACAGCAAAAACTCAAAGAAAGCAAATCTACAATATCTTCAGGAAAAAAAAGCCTCAATTCTCCCAAACTCTCCCACACTCTACAAAGACAGTGACTCATAAATGAGTACTCTTCTTACATATGTCTGTTTCCACATTAGGCATAATTCTAGTCTCTAAAATGATAAAGGATAAAAACCTACAAATTTAGAAAAGAGAGAGAGACGAGAGGCAAGCACAGTTTCAGCTCCCCTAAGACATCAGTGTTATAACATAATAATGACAAACCTAGACTGAAAATAAGAGTTAAACTAAGTTGCATATGCTCAGTAAAAAGGATATCTTCATTAAAATCTTGGTATTTAAAATTATATGCTTCCTTTGTCTAGAAAAGTCACTTATCTAAAAAACTTCACATTTTCATTACACAAGATTACTATATTTGCTTCTACGCAGTTCAGTAAACATTAATCAAACTTTCTAATGCAGTTAAAAATTAACCTGAAAATATCAAAACATGTCACTGCTTTAAAACATGACCTATATGCTTCCTATTAGAGAAATGTAGTTATAAGGAGTACACATATTGTTCCTCCCAATAGGTATAGCACTCTCAAAATGACAAGATGGGAATGATATTTATATATTTGCAAAAGCTTATATTTCAATAGTAAGTTTATGTATAGATTGTGCCTTTTAGAACAGATATAACATTTTTTATCTAAATCTCCTCCCTATAGGCCCTGTACCCTCAAAACACCTGCCACCATTGTGACTGCATTTTCACTTTTCCCCTTATATGTTCTCTATAAATGTTATAAAGGGAAAGGAAAAAGCAGAAAATAGGAGACTTCTTGCACCCACTGCCAGTAAGTGTCAATAACAAAATCTCAGAAGTTTTAGTTAACAGAAACAAATTATGTTTAAACTAAAATCCTATTCGTTACTCTTCGTGTAATCTTTAAAAAGAAAAAATCTTATGATTCTGGGATCAGCATGCTCAAAAACAAACAAAAGGTAGCCTTCCTGACAAGAAATACATTGCCAAATATAAATCTATAAACTTTAATACTGCTTTCTCTTGTTTTACTTATAAAAATTGCTCCAACAGAAGCAACAAATATAGTAATAATTCAAAAACCATAAAGGATGACTCACTTGAAACAATTTGCTGTTTCTCAAAATGTGTTCCCTGATATGTCATTCCCTGAAGAGGGGATGCTATAGTTCAGTAAGTTTGGAAAACTCTTTCTATTTAGGAAGTTAACCACACACACTGGCTATTTAAGTTACTGTGACACATCACAGTAAATAAACATAACTTATTTGGCCCAGCATTACACAAACTATTTTGACTTTAAAACCCGTTTTCCTTATAGTTGTTTCAGCTGGGGAGCAGGCTTGCTACTCACCTCCTGCTGTGCGGCCGTATTCCTAACAGGCCACAGACGTACGAATCCACAGCCCAGGGGTTAGGGACCCCTGCTACAGCAAAAACTCAAAGAAAGCAAATCTACAATATCTTCAGGAAAAAAAAGCCTCAATTCTCCCAAACTCTCCCACACTCTACAAAGACAGTGACTCATAAATGAGTACTCTTCTTACATATGTCTGTTTCCACATTAGGCATAATTCTAGTCTCTAAAATGATAAAGGATAAAAACCTACAAATTTAGAAAAGAGAGAGAGACGAGAGGCAAGCACAGTTTCAGCTCCCCTAAGACATCAGTGTTATAACATAATAATGACAAACCTAGACTGAAAATAAGAGTTAAACTAAGTTGCATATGCTCAGTAAAAAGGATATCTTCATTAAAATCTTGGTATTTAAAATTATATGCTTCCTTTGTCTAGAAAAGTCACTTATCTAAAAAACTTCACATTTTCATTACACAAGATTACTATATTTGCTTCTACGCAGTTCAGTAAACATTAATCAAACTATCAGTTTTCTAATGCAGTTAAAAATTAACCTGAAAATATCAAAACATGTCACTGCTTTAAAACATGACCTATATGCTTCCTATTAGAGAAATGTAGTTATAAGGAGTACACATATTGTTCCTCCCAATAGGTATAGCACTCTCAAAATGACAAGATGGGAATGATATTTATATATTTGCAAAAGCTTATATTTCAATAGTAAGTTTATGTATAGATTGTGCCTTTTAGAACAGATATAACATTTTTTATCTAAATCTCCTCCCTATAGGCCCTGTACCCTCAAAACACCTGCCACCATTGTGACTGCATTTTCACTTTTCCCCTTATATGTTCTCTATAAATGTTATAAAGGGAAAGGAAAAAGCAGAAAATAGGAGACTTCTTGCACCCACTGCCAGTAAGTGTCAATAACAAAATCTCAGAAGTTTTAGTTAACAGAAACAAATTATGTTTAAACTAAAATCCTATTCGTTACTCTTCGTGTAATCTTTAAAAAGAAAAAATCTTATGATTCTGGGATCAGCATGCTCAAAAACAAACAAAAGGTAGCCTTCCTGACAAGAAATACATTGCCAAATATAAATCTATAAACTTTAATACTGCTTTCTCTTGTTTTACTTATAAAAATTGCTCCAACAGAAGCAACAAATATAGTAATAATTCAAAAACCATAAAGAATGACTCACTTGAAACAATTTGCTGTTTCTCAAAATGTGTTCCCTGATATGTCATTCCCTGAAGAGGGGATGCTATAGTTCAGTAAGTTTGGAAAACTCTTTCTATTTAGGAAGTTAACCACACACACTGGCTATTTAAGTTACTGTGACACATCACAGTAAATAAACATAACTTATTTGG